ATTATTTATAATATTTGACACAATATCCATTGGAAGTTTTAGCTTTTCCGCATCCCAGACCTTTGTACTTTATTTTGGAATACATTGTCTCTTTTATAATTGTTTTTCATAAGAGAAATAAAAAAAGAGTTGACAGATTGAAAAAGATAGTCTTATATTTAACATGTAACATATTAGAGGAAAAAATCCATCCGAGCCTCCAGCCTACATGTCAGCATTGTTCTCCAGAGCTGGTACTGAGCTGATCTCAGAATAAACTGCTGCATCCTCTGCTGCTGGACTTGACTTTCCTGTCAGTGAGAAGATATTTCTTAATAGAAAATGTCAAATCAATACATTTAAAGCAAGATGATTTTAAATACTATAACATTAAAGGCAGAACAGTGGTGGTTCAAGAGCAATTTTACCAGTGGGGCTAGGGTGACGCCGGTGTATTTTTTAATAGGGGCACAAAGCAAAAGAAAAAAAAACAAAAAAAACAGGGCAATAGCAGACTGATAACCCTCTAAAAATACATATAGTTACTTCACTCTATATGCACATGTAGTGGATTTGGATGCACGGAAAAATAAAATTTGGTGAACCTTCTTTAAAGGACACTGATGTCTTCTTAGTTGACTTGTAGATATTAACTAAGACAGATGATGAACTGAACTCTATGCTGAGGTGTAATCAGCTTTAGTGTAATGAAGACATGGAATTGACTGTACCTGCAGCTACTGTTTTCTCTTCAGAGTAAACAGCGCCCTCCTCTGGTGGTCTATGATGTCTACCTGTAAAGATCATCCAATATGAGGGATAAAACCACTCAGTCAGTTTCACATGTTTTACATTGTAGAAATGTGGGACTCACTCTCTGTCTTAGAGGATTCTATTTCAATGAGAGAGTATGTATGACTGTAAATTACATGACTGTATGCTTTAAAAGATACACTTTACCATTTCCAGCAGCTTCAGCAGAGTAGATTATATCATAGCAATGAGCATCACCTATAGTGAATAAAGACCAAAAAATATCAGGATATTAACAAATTTTAACAATTTACTTAAATGTTGAAAAAGTGATATATAGAAATTTGACATTAACATAGTGATCTAAACAGCATCAGCAGATTAACAACAAAGCTATAAAATAATCATTTAAAAAATCTGCGAGAGAAAAAACATGTATATATATGTCCCATAAAATTACAAGACCAATACAATCATAACTGGATGTGTACATCTTATTTTACCCTCAAATCAGACTAAACAGTTCAGCCAAACATGTTTCTCTTTGGTAGAAATAGAGTAATATTTATTGTTACTGTTGGCAACTGGGCTGAACTCCTTCATGGTTTTGGATCAGAGCATACAGACAAAAATGATTGCCTCACAAAATCTACCATCAAATCACTTTATAATGAGCATTTCATCATAATCATGCTGGTACTAAAAAGGCAGTGATTACAAAGTCTCTTTAGAACTGTATTTGTTCATAAGATTTTGATGTTTTTTGTTTCTAAACACTTTGAACGCATCACCATCCTATAATAGTTTGTGAAACTTGGTTAAAAGGCATAAACCATACTCAAAAGCTCAAAGAACAATTCTCATCCTAATCAGCACAACTTTAATAAAGAGTGGCATGAGTGCAATTGGCGCCTGTTATCCATGTTCTGGCAGGACAACCTGTGGAGATCGGGGATTAAATCATTTGACTACTCAGTCTTTGAGAGGTCACAAGTTTGGATTTTACCCAACACCTTCTTCACTGTATTGAAGGAAGGGTGTAAATAGATTCTTTATACAAAATAGTTATTTGTAATTGTGTGTTTTTATCTAACTTGTGTTTTTTTTTTTTTTTTTTTGATGTTGCTGTGTCCTTGAACATTTGCACAACCCCTACAGCTGGAGCCTTGATCATCAGCAGGAAGTCCCCAAAGCAAACATCAGTCTATGATAACTATACTTAGGTTGAAAAAAGCGAGAAGCTGTGGTTCTGACCTTCAGTCTGGTTGGTGTAGATCTGACTCCTGCTCTCTGAGACCCTTGATCTATTAATTGATACAAACAGGTTATTAAGGAAAAGTCAATGAAATGAAAATATGAGAAAGAAAATCAAAATATGGTGAACTTACCTGATGCAGCACAGATCTGTGAAATATTTTATATTTATTATTTATCCTGCCAGTTTGTTTTGTTTTTTTTTCACAGAAAAAGAATCAATGTCTGTGTTGCAATAATAAAAGCAGCTATAAGTTAAATAAATAATTCAGTGTTCATGAAAAGGTCTCACCCTTAGACCGTCTGCAGCACCACAAAAAGATCAGGAGACTAATGAGAATGAGTCCAATAAATGTTCCAACGATCAGCAGCACAGGAAGTGAAGAGCTGACAGGACTGGTGAGAGGCACTGTAGAAAATAAATATTAGAAAGCCATGTTATTAATCTGCAGATGTTATGTGATTGCAAACATGGACAGACACCCACAGCACATTCACATTATTAGAGTTCACCTTGTTCATAGATTAAACTAGAATGTTTTTTTAGTGAATAAAATCTATCAAATGTTTTCATCCTCTCACCTCTAACAGCCATCCAGCTCTGTAGTGACTCCTTTCCTGAATGTTCACACTTGTAGAAACCTTCATCTGACTTTGACACTGCAGAGATCTTCAGCTCCTCTCTGCTGTCATTGTGGATCAGTTTGTTATTGTGATAGAAAAACACATTGGAGAGAAGTTTTTGTTCTTTATCTCTGCAGCTCAGAGTAACAGGATCTCCCTCAGTCACAGGATGGACGGGGCTCAACAGGATAATACCATTGATATCTTCTAGAAAACAATCAGAGAACATGAACATTTCATCAGAGATTGTTGGGATTAGAACTGTAAAAACCTTGAAAAGATGCCTTTCCCTTCAGTTTGATCACTTTGAACAGAATTTTTTATTTATAAACTGATCTACCAACACAAAAGGGTCACCCTGTGACCTCACTGGGATATCAGATTAAACACAGAATGGTTCCTACAGCGACATTATTGGAGGCTGAGGATCTTCTCTACTTTTATTTACTTTTATTAAGATTTCATCAACTGTTCGTCTGAGAGAGGTCTCAGAAAGATGATCACTAGAGGACAACCAATAATCAGCTGTGTTGGAGGAGATAACATAGTTATTGTCCAGAATTTAGATTAGAATAATTTTCTACAAAGATAAAAATAAAAGAAATAAACAATGATGATTAACATCAGAATAAATCTGCAGCTCTGAAATTTAAAGCACTGATGCTTCAGAGCAGCTCTGAAACATTTATGGGTCCATTAATATGATCATGTTATTTTAAATTAATTCAGTTTATTGTAAAATATCAGACAGTTTTGCTTTCTACTGCAGAAAACGTAAGTTAACATTTTTAACTAAGAATTGATTATAATAGTAGCTATAGATGAGAAATTACTTTAAAACTGAACAAAGGTCCTTTAGTTTTTAAACTTTTTGGATTTTAACTTGTTGAACAACCTTGATGATAGAATTATAGAGATGTGAGGATTTAAGGAGAATAATTTATGAAGGAGCAAATATTTAAATTAGAGGTTACAGTACGTGTTAAACATTAAATATACTGAAATGTGTTAATGTTGAAAATAAGGAAAGAGAAAGAAAAACATGATAAATCATAACCTACCCTGCACAGTGATGTTGACGGCGTTGCTGAAGCGTCCTGATCCAGACTCACACCAGTACACTCCACTATGATACCAGTACAAACTGATGCTACATGTAGATCTGTTCATTTTCCCCTTGTCGGAGCAGTCAAACAGTAAACCTGTTTCTGTAATCCACTTCACTCTATATTCAGCAGAGTTTCCCTCACAGCTCAGAGACACAGAGTCAGAGCTGAAGTGTTGAACTCTGCCAGGACTCAATGAGAGAGACGCTGCTGGATGAGGATCTGGAAAACAACGCAGGATTTAGGCTGAGCACAGAAACAACAGGTCAAAGGATTATTATACATTTTCTCTTTGAACATTTTTAATAATAAAATCATAATAAAATAAGCAAACATCTTAACACAGTGATAAGACTGTGATATCTGTCCTTTAAATCTAATATTTTAGTGAATCTCAGATTGGACTTCCTGCAGAAACTCAGCAAGCTCAACCCTCCTTAGCAGCAGCTGTGTTAGGTTTCCAGATTGTGGGGTTTGTTTTGTTTCTGTTGCAGTTTCACTGTACACCCACTAGATGGTGCCATTGTTCTCTGCTGATCTGGAGGGCTTTCCTGTTCTTCTCATCTCACATCTGCAGCCTATTGGGTCATCACTTCCTGAGGAGTATTTAAGGAGCAGACTGTCTTCATTTCCTCGCCAGAGTGTTTGCCAATATTGGCTACTTTAGCCCCTCTGAGTTAGCTGAGTCAACTTTGAGTCTAAGTGTCTTCGGAGCTCTTCAGTCCTAACCTTGTTTTTGTCTTTGATTGTCCGGCAGGATTTTCCAGATCCTCTGGATAAGCTGGCCCTTCTAGTCTGGAAGGGAAACACTCGTCACACTGAGAAAAGGACACAGATCTCCTCATCTGAACGCTGAGCCCTTCAGGAACCAAGTGTCTGCCCACCTGCTCCTCAGGATAGTCTGCCTGTCCGCCCTCCAACGAACCAAACCTTCAACAGGCCAAGCCTCCACAAACGGGATCTCGGAAACCCTCCCCAACTACCACAGTGAGTCCAAAAAACCTTGTATTCAGACCTTTGGCCAGTTTTCCAATAGTCCTTGAACTCACCACTCTGATCTCCTCCTAGAGCTTCTGCTTCCGGTTTACCTGACCGCAGGAACCTCCCCAAGCTGAAGAACTATTTTACCTATCTCTATACAGTTCCCTTCAATAAACCGTTAAACCATTTTCAGTCTCTGTGAAGTGCTTCTGCATGTGGGTCAAACATATTAGACCCATCATGACAAGCTGATCATTTTCTATACCTCCATCCTTCAGTCTGTTTTATGCTCATCTATCTCTGTGGTTTGGTTCTTATCTCCAAACAGGACCGGTCCAAACTGTAATGAATAATGAGGTTGCAGAGAGGATCATGCTGATCTTCCCTCCATCCAGGATCTACACAGGTCTAGTCAATGATTGGCTGGGGATGGCTATGTGGCTATGGCATCGCTTACCCCCCTCTATTTCCACAACTGCTTACTCTTTACTCATAGAGCAAGATTGTGCAGGGATTAAACAGAAAATAATTTAACCTAAATTTGTTTAATTTTAATAGTTTTGAGCTATTTAAGCAAATCTGATGAGTAAAACCTGTATCACCTGTTTATTTATTGAGCATAGGAAGTTTAAAACAACCTTCAAAGAGTCTTAAGTTCATTTTTATCATTTTAATCTGTAGATTGTTTAGACTGATCATATTGGGTTTTTTTCTGGACTGTGTGAAAACCTTTAAAATTACTTTATGGAACAACTGCGGTTTAAAGGTTATGAGAGCATATTCAGAGAAACATTTTAATGAAAACAGGAACATTCAAACTAACAGGGTTTATTAGCTCAATTTAAGGAGTAATTTGATGTGACATTGATGTGACATAGAAATGTATAAAGAGATGAGCCCCAAAAGTTCTGCAACACAATCGTATATAGACTGATGAGACCAAAATGAATTTCTAGAAAAGTGTGGAGAAAAAAAATAGCCACTTATGATCTGAAGCTTAGAAGCTCATCTGTGAGGCACGGTGGAGGTCATTTCATGAGTAGCAGTTTAATTTCATGCTTTCAGTGTACATGGCAGTTTATAGATCATGTAACTGATATCAGCTGAATGAATCCTGAAATGAACAGAAACATTCTGTCTTCTAATCTTCAGAAATATGCATCCAAACTAATCTGGAGGAATTTATCATGCAGCAGGACAATGACCCAAAGCACACTGCTAACAAAGCAAAGGACTCCATCAGGGGAAAAAGTAGAAAGTTTTAGAAAGGCCAGTCAATCACCAGACCTTCACCCAACAGATCATGCATTTCACCTCCTGAAGAGGAGACTGAGAGAGAAACCCCAGAAAATAAACTAGAACTGAAAGAAGCTGCAGTAAAAACCTGGAATAGCATCACAGAAGAAGAATCAACAGTTTGGATGTTGATGTGTATTAATACATTTTACTGGATATCATTAGTTTAGTAATGTAGTTTTAGGCGTATCTTTAAAGAACAATGATCAGATTGACTTGTTTTAAATTTAATAAATAAAAATGAAAGAGGATTATATGAAATTTAACAGATGTCTTTGAACAACATTATTCTCTCTCTCTTCACCTATAGACAGTAGAAGATAAGTATAGCAAGAACGCATGTTAACTGTATCTGGTAAGAACTATAGAAAATCTGATTCATGTCTAACATTTATTTGAATTCTTATTAAAACATGAGTCCTGCTTAATTATAGCATAGAGAGAAAAATACTGACCTGCAGACCAGATAAACTTTGATTTACTGTAAGCAGTTAAATCTGCTGGATCTCCTCTTCCTGCTCTGCACACATATCCTGCTGTGTGATTTTGTCCATGAAGGATGGAGGAGTTTAGTTCAGTTATGTTGGTGATGTCAGGCAGCAGCTCTAAGCTGTAGGATTTGGATGACAAATCAGGAACAGCTTTATACCAGAAGAACCTCCATCCTGCAGACTGAGGTTTAACTTCACAGCTCAGAGTCACTGAGGCTCCAGGACTCAGCCATGATGGAGACACAGAGAGGACAGGGTGAAGGTCCCCTGTTGGAATCAATCATTAGGCAGCATCAGCACTATGATGGAGGAATTAGACTTTGATTGAAATGTTAGATCTTAAAATTTATTATTAATGTAATTTGTGTTTGGAGTCAATTAAATATAAACAATGTTGTGATACCAAAACTTAATAAACGTTAAGTGAATAGTAGTTTAACATACATGTATTATAATTAGTAAACAGTAAATTTAACAACTAAAAGATAACTAGAGATGAATAGTCCAACTAATGTAAAGATAGAGCATCAAATGGATGATGACTGAAGCAAACATTTCTCGTGAATCTGTTAGCAGGAGATTTCATGTTGTTTGGATCATAAAAATACTTAACACAGTAAGTAATAGATGCTTAGTATTTTTTTGCTTTTCCCCGACAACATTATATCATTATTTCAAAAAAAGATACCCCACCATTTAGCAAATCTGAAATAACTTTTTGTTTTAATGAGGAACAGAAACTAAACTCACCCGTTTTCCTTACATAGACATTATAGCTGCGTTCAGTGTAGAAAACTGGATCTCCTCTTCCTCCTCTGCAGCTGTATAAACCTCCCTCTGAGACTCTGAGGAATCCATCAGGATCATTGTTTCTGATTAAAAGAGCTGTACCATGCTCCAGTCTGAACCAGTCAAACTTCCATCCAGCAGAGCTGGGCACAGAGCAGGTCAGTGTTATTTTGCCCCCTGTTGGAATGATTGTTTCCTCTGCTGTCAGTTTGGATGTTGGTTTTTCTACTATTTAGGAAAAACAAAAACAAGTAAATCTCAAGAATATTGTTTAATGGAGTGTTTTATCACCATAAATCTCGCATTCAGCTAGTAGAATAAATCTGACCCATGATCCTCATAGAATTTAAAGCCACATTTGACATAAACAATGGATCAACTTTTTAATGACCAACATATTTTTATTGTCATTTTTTTTTTCTTATTTATCTGGCTGACATATTTATGTAGGTAATAAATTTTTTTTATTTTATTTTCCAAGTATAGCCAATGTTAAAATTACAGTGTTTATGTGTTCCTGTTGTTCTCGAAAGTCTTTACTGAAAAATATTGTCCAATGAAGAAAAAATATATTTTAATCCAATATTATCTATAACAAAAGAGTAAAGTTAGAACATTTCCTAAACTGTTCTGCACTGGTCATTAATTTAGATCACCTGTAGCAACGTTGTGATCATATTAGACACTAACAAAGCTGATAAAAGCCTTAATATTACTAAATATTTAATTCAAACTTTAAGCATAAACTTTAAAACAGATACACTAAAATATTTCGAATAACAACAGCTCAAAGTTGAATGTTTTAATAGAAAAAATGATAACATAAAACTAATTGAAACATTTCAAATAATAACCTACTTTCTAAAATACAGGGATAACTCACAAACAGTTAATGAAAAAGAATCACTCAATTGAGTTTGCTCATGGTTTGTTCTTCCTCTGCAGCTGTAGGAGTCACTGTCTGCTGTTATGGTCCTGGATTCACTGAATGTTGCAGAGTATCTGCTGGTTGTCATCCATTCATACGTCCACTCAGTTCCTCCACCTCCATGGATCTCACATCTCAGAGTGACTGTCTCTCCTCTGAATATTGGAGACCAGTTGTGTTGCAGAGTCACAGTGGGTTTAATGGAAACTGTTCACATAAAGAAATATCTGATTAGAACAGAAACATTTAGAACAAAAAAGTCTGTTTAACTTAACAAATTAAATCAATAAATCAGAACATTTATTTAATACCATAAGAAACCATAATTATTATTATAACAACGAAAGAATAGAAATATTAACCACATGATGAATTGAAAACATTTGAAATGATGTCTGAAAAAGGCATCATCATGTAAAATATTAATTTGGACATAATTAGGTGATACAATATTATGCTTCCTTTCTGTAGAAAATAGCATTGAATGATGAATGTGAAGCCAATACACCAGTAAAGAAGCTTATTACTGTCATATTGTTGTTGCCGAGACTAATAAATAATTTAACATGGGGTGTAACCATGTTGAACAGTTGTCTTTTCTGACCATTGATTGAATCAGCACTTTGTTAAAGCTGAGAAATCTGAATTTCATGTTGAAAGTACTATGTCACTCCTGGGTTTTGTGGTTTCCCCTGATCAGATTGCCATGGACCCTATGTGAGCGCCATTACCAACTGGCCTGTTCCCAAAGATAGAATGCAACTGCAGAGGTTCTTGGAGATTGCTCATTTCTACAGAAGTTTCATCAAAAAATACAGTCAGAAAGCTGCACCCCTTCATACCTTCACTTCAGATAAGATTAAGTTGGAATTAACAGACTCATCAAGCCTTCCAGAGACTCAAAACTTTGTTTACTTTTGCACCTGTTTTAGTTTCCCTGGATTGAGAAAGGCAATGTATTGTGGAGGTGGATGCCTCCAGTACTGGAGGTCAGGTGGTCCTCAGTCAAGAAGCCAGGAATAACAAGATTTCTCCAAGGGACTTTCAAGTGCGGAGAGGAGCGATGATGTGGGGGATCGGGAGCTACAGCAATAAAGCTGACTCTGGAGGAATGGAAACAGTGGTTGGAGGGGTCCAAGATTCATTACGTAATTTGGACTGATCATAAAAACTTGGAATACCAGAAGTTGTCTAAGAGACTTAGCCTCAAGCAGGCAAGGTTGGCACTTTTTTGGGCATATTAAAATTTCACGGTCTTACAAATCCGGGCTCAAAAATGCTAAACTTGATGCTTGGTCCAGGGCGTTTGAGTCAGATGAACAGAGTTCCGGTGGTACAGAGAAGTATGTGGTACCTGAGTCTGTGAGATGTTCTGTCACTATAGTTGATTTAGAGAAGGAAGTGAGAGATGTTCTCTGTAATTGGAGGATTTTCTTAATCACCGTGTGTGCCTGATGTTTTGAGAAAAAGGGTCTTAGAGTTTTGTCACACTTCCTACATGTTTTGTCATCCTGGAGTGTCTAAAACCATCAACATTATTTGGGCACAACTCTGGTGGCCTTCTCTGTCCTCAGATGTGCGGGAGTTTGTGGCAGCTTAGCCCCTTTACAATCACTCCAAAACATCCAGACGACCCCTATCTGGTTTTCTGCAACCATGGACTTCATTACTGGGTTACCCTTTTCTGAAGGTAACACCATCATCCTCAATATCATTGACAGATTTTCCAAGATGGTTCATTTGGTACCACTGCCCAAAATCCCATCCGCTAAAGAAATGGGAGAAATTCCCACTCATGAGGTTTTTCACCTCCACATTCTCCTGACAGAAATAGTTTCAGACAGGGGTCCCCGGTTTGTGTCTCAGTTCTGAAGAGACTTCTGCTCATTGTTGGGGATCATTTTCAGCCTGTTGTCGGGTTTCCATACCCAGAAGGACGGTCAGACAGAGAGAGCCAATCAGGAGATAGAAATGAGGTTACACATTTTGTGTGAATTAGCTCCCACTAAGTGGGTCAGCCAACTGTCCTGGCTCAAGCAGGCTATCAATTCTGCCCCTTCTAGCATCACTGGACTCTCTCTGTTTGGGATTCAGCATCCAGTGTTTGCCATTTAAGAAAAGGTTTCTGAAGTTGTGTTGGCCTGGTTATCTGCTCTTAGGTGCCAGTGAGCCTGGAGAAGGGCTAGGAGAGCTGTTTGCAGTATGTTGGATATTCGAGTCAAGGCTGAAAAATGCCAGAGAACCCTGGCACCCAAATTCCGGGAAGGCCAGAATGTTGGGCTCTCCACCAAAGACCTACCTTTGAGGGTAGAGAATAGGAAGCTGGATCCTCATTTTATCAGGCCGTTTCCCACTACTAAAGTGGTGAACCTGGTGGCCATTTACCTCCAGCTCCCTCATTCCATAAAAAGTCATCCTACTTTTCATGTGTCCTGTGTTAAACCTGTCATGATCTTGATGCTGATGACTGGCTTGATTGTTCGTTCTATTTACCTGCTTAACTCCGCCCAGTTTCTCATCACCATTCATCAGTGTCACCTGCTTCAGTCTCTATTTAACCCGTCTGCTTCCAATCATCAGAGCTAGATTATTCAAGCCTTTTGTGAAATTCTTTTAGCGATTCATAGTGTTTTCTGATAGCCTGATCCTGGCCTGTTCTGTCTTTGGACCTCTGATTCTGCCTGTTCCTATTCTGATCTTTTTCGGACTCCTGCTGGATTCTGCCTGTTGATGACCCCGGAACTGCTTCTTCACACCGACCTGGATTTCCCTCTGGCACCGCGTCAGATTTCTGATATTCTGGCCTGGACTGGGGTCATAAACACCGGCTCTGGCTTTGTCCTCTGGATTGTCCTGCCTTCCTTCATCTGCTTGAATCTGATCTCCTTCCAGTCGTGAAGTCATCAAGGCTTCAGTGCCTGGAACTCTCTGGGCAGTGTTGGCCATGCTTGTTGTCAGCTGCTTGGCGGGAATCCACCTCTTATTCTGGGCACGGACTGAACTATAAGACCAGGTTAATAACTAACACATCTGAATCATGCTCTGCCAGATTAACATGGTCGCTAAGCTGTATTTCCCTCCTGCAGAGGTTTCTGCAGTAGACGCCTTAGCTGCCCACTGCCAATCAGTTTTGTTTAAATAAATGCTTTTGGGGAAATCTAACTGTCTGTCTACCTTTAATACTGGGTCCTCTGTTCTCAGCCTTGACACTGTAAGCAGAAACTGTGTCTGTATCTGAACACACTTAAATTCACAATCAACATTAACCAGACTTGTTCTGGTTTAAAATAGTCTAGAGTCTAATTTTGACCACCAGCTGCTGAGCGTCCCTGTTAGTGTTAGAACTAAGTAATACTGTATGTTAATACAGATGAGAGGTTAAAAATCTTTTGTTTATAGAGGCTTTGGCTATGTTTTCTTACACAATTAGTCACATTTTCAGTCCAGTATTTGTTTCATTTTTTAAAATCATTTAAAATGTTTTGTTATAACTCTTATTTTAATGATTATTTCTATTCTAATTATGTTTGATGCCACTGCAATTTACTTTTCCTTTTCTTCTCATGTACAGCTCATTGAATTGTCTTGCCACTGAAATGTACTCTATAGATAAACTTATAGATAAATTATGAATGAAATAAATCTCAGTGACTGATAAATTAAGGGCTTAGTATGAGAAATTAATTTGATTTTCCAACTACAGAACCCATAAATTACACAGTAAAAAAAAAGGAAAATAACATTTATCGTACAAATCAGTTTCTGCCTTCAGATCTCTGACAGCAAATGGTGCTGAAGAGAAAAAATCTTTTGAACCGTTGCAGAGGCAGAAACATTTTCCTCTTTACATTTTTACTCATATAAAGGTTTTAGGCTATATGTCATAGTAGAAGGTCCTAGGGCAGATATGATTTAAAAACATTGATCTGACTATACCATTTACTCATGGTGATGAATCTTTACTATTTGTAGGAGTTTCATCCACTGTTTCACTCTGATGGGTAGAGATGATCAAATGGAGAAAATAAACTCACGCACTGTACATTTAGATCTGAATTTTACATTCAACACAAATGAAAATACAGAGTTGTTGATTTAATATGATTATTGCCAGAGAAAATACAATGAAAGTATTCAAATTGTACAGAAAGTTGTCAGTTACTAAAGAAACAGATTCTTACCATCATCCAATGCAAATATGAAAGACCATAGCACTGCAATGAAGAACAAAAGCTAAATTATAACCAATACATGTCAATAACAGAGAGTTTTCAGGTTAGACTAGTAAAGAGATAAAATATGCAAAATTACTAAACACTAAACATTAAAAGCATTTGTTTGATCACACTATGGTGACATGCAACATGCAGAAATATTGTTTTTAATCACTGAAGAGAAAGTCAGATGTGTCCTTACAGAAAAAGACCAGCATGCAGAGCAGAGCGTTCTTCATCCTCACATCCAGACCTGCTGCACAGCTCATCAGAAAGGCTTCTACTGTATTTGAACTATAATGAAGAAGGAGAATCTACATCTCACATATATGACACCTGCATGCTAAAAACCCTTAAATACAGCCTGTGGTTTCCTTCCCTTTTTATCAAAGTTTGTACCACAGCAGCAGCTTTGACTGCAGCTATTGGTGGGTTATACTTCCTGTCCACTGCGGAAAGATTTTAGCCTTTGTGATATGATAAAAAAAAAAAAAAAAAGAAAAACAATAACAGATTTTAGAAAGGACAAGAATATTTTGGGTGCGACTGAATTTGTCTCTCCTCAAGGATAATTAAAGTTATCCTCATTTTGTTCCTGCATTTCTAAAATTTTTGTCACATCTTCTTCAGCAGACTATTTTCATTTGCACAGTAGGTAAATGATAACAATCAACCTCAAGTGGGTTATCTCTCTCTCTATGTTTATGCACTCGGTGGGCTAAATCGGTCTGTTGATAACCAGCAGCTCTTGACTCATGGAACATTGAAGATCACAATGATAATCAGAAAGCAGTTGAAGAGAACGCAGCTCCAATTGAAATTAATTACTTTAGTTGATAACAAATAGTTGACTTATGACGCTCAACATTTTTTCTCTTTAGGTTAATAGGGTGTCAAGTTACAGCATTAAAATAAAGGAAGTTCTATTTCTCCATATTAGATCAGACATATAGATGTAAACAGTCTTTCAAAATCAGAAAAAAAAATAAGCTTCAAACGCTCCACAATTAACAGCATGAAATAAATACTTGTAACTTCAGCATTCAGTGTTTTCTTTTTTTCTGAGAAGTTACACTAAAGATAAACAATTTTCAGTACAGCAGCAATTATATTTCTGTTATATCTAGAGTAGCTTCTTTTATTGTTTGGTTTCTTTATAATGAGAACAATTCATCAACACATGCAAAAAAAAACATAGTTGTAATGAGCAGTTTAGAGCAGTCAGACCATCTGAAGGAAGTGCTGCAAGATTGAGCTACAGCACTGAAAAGATAAGGTGTGAGTTCTTTCAGTGATTAGGATGATAAGGCTTCTTTCTGCTGAACCGAAACTGACAGTTTGGGTATTTTCTTGCCTGTAGCAGCCTGTAGAATAATAATGACCAAATCTGATAAATAACTTAATTTCAAATCCTTTGTTTTGATGGTTTAGTGTGGTGGTCTGTCCAGTAAGGCACAAGGACAAAGGCATATAAAAAAAGTATTTTCTATTTATTTTCCAAAAATAATCTTCACAAAAAAAGGACTTACATCAAATCTCAAAAAAATATAACAAAATGTGCCCAAATGAAATCAACTAAGGCATAACAAACCAAAAAACTGACATCACTCAATGAACACACAGGGGAATTTATACACAAAGCCTAGCCTACACAAATGAAGAGGGGTGGGAGATGAGACAAAGACAAACAATGCATAAAAATAAATAACTAATTCAAACTAACACCTTTTGACTA